AGTTTCATTGTTGTTGTCCAGGCTGGAGTGTGTAGTGGTGTGATCTCTCACCACAACTTCCACCTCCCAGGTTCAAGCGATTCTCCTGCCTCAGCCCCACTAGTAGCTGGGATTACAGGCATGTGCCACCACGCCCAGCTAATTTTGTATTTTTAGTAGAGTTGAGGTTTCTCCATGTTTGTCTGGCTCATCTCAAACTTCTGACCTCAGGTGATCTTGGCCACCCAAAGTTCTGGGATTGCAGGTGTGAGCCCCTGTGCCCTGCCCTCATGGCTTTTAATACCACCCATATCCCGATGATAACTAAATTTATATCTCAACACCTTTCTCTTGTGCGGTAGCCTTGTAACTGTCCCTTTTAATTTGTGTACCCGCTTAGACAATTTTAAATGTCCAGAGGGGTGTGTTGGCTCACGCCTGTAATCCCAACACTTTTGAAGGCTGAGACGGGCATATCACCTGAGGTCACTAGTTTAAGACCAGCCTGGCCAATGTGGTGAAAACTTGTCTCTAGTAAAAATATAAAATTAGCCGAGTGTGGTTGGGGGCACCTGTAATCCCAACTTCTTGGGAGGCTGAGGCAGGAGAATTGCTTGAACCCGAGAGGCAGAGGTTGCAGTGAGCTGAGATCGCGCTATTGCACTCCAGCCTGGGTTACAGAGGAAGACGCCGTCTCATAAAAGAAAAAGAAAAAGAAAATAGTAGGTCCAAAAGGTAGCTTTTGATTTTTACTCCTTGGACCCCAAAAACCTATTTTTCCCCTTGTTGTCTCCACATCAGTTAGTAGGCCTACCATCTTCCCAGTTACGTGAACCAAATAGCAAGGTATTATTTTTGATTTTGCCTTTCCCTTTATCTTTCATCTCCAGGATATCAGTAAGCGTTACCCTTCTCTCTAGAAAATCACTGTCTCCATCTACCCTGCCATCTCTATAGCCTATGACAAGGTTATAAACGATAGCCCACTGATAGCTGCCTGTTTTGTAAATAAGTTTGGTTGGACTACAGCCATGCCCATACATGTACGTTTGGTGTATGGTTGCTTTTGTGCCACAGTGGCAGGGTTAAGTATTGTGACAGAGACCCCCATGTGGCCCACAAGCCTAAAACATTTGCCATCCAGCCCTTTAAGAAAAAGTTTGTTGGCTGGGCATGATGGCGGTGGCTCCTGCCTATAATACCAGCACTTTGGGAGGCTGAGGTGGGTGATGAGGTCAGGAGTTTGATACTAGCCGGGCCAACGTGGCAAAACCCCATCTCTACAAAAAATACAAAAATTAACTGGATGTGGTGGCGCACGCCTGTAATCCCAGCTACTCAGGAGGCTGAGACAGAAGAATTGCCTGAACATGGGATGCAGAGGTTGCAGTGAGCTGAGATTGTGCCATTGTACTCCAGCCTGGGCTACACAGTGAGACTCTGTCTCAAAACAAAATGAAACAAAGCAAAAAGTTTGCTGACCTCTGATATGAGCTGTTGTCTCTTGCCTGGAAAATTGGTCCTAACTTGTTTCCTAACTTCCTTTAGTTAGGAATCATGGCCTTTAAAGCATTATGCAGATAAAGTAATTATCTTGCTTAAAATCTTCTAATGGTATCCAGTCACTGTTAGACTAACATACATTTCTTATCCCAGCCTGTGGGGGTCTACGGAATCTTGTGCCATACTCTCCCCAAGCTGATGCTGTACCATTCTGTTTTTGCTCACGACATTCTGGCTGCACCAGCTCCTTGCTGCTCCTGAAACAGTCGAAGGCATTTTCACTTGGGTATTCATACTCGTTTCCCTTACCCAAAGGACTCTTCTGTAGCTCCTTTCGTATCTGACTTACTCATCCTTTGGGTTTTCCCTGACTTTCCTGATCATCTTGTCAGAAGTAGTTCCCTTCATTACAGAGCAGGATGCATCATCTTGTCACTCTTTATTCTCCAGTGCCTATAGTGCTTTCGCACAGCATGTGTGCTAGATAAATATTTCTTGAAAGAAGACTGAATGAATGGATGAATGAATGAATAAACACATTTCAAAATCACTTGCCTTTCTGTTCATTTTTTGAGATGTAGTTAAATATGGTAAATTTTTCTTGAGTAATTTAGACTCTTTGGTTTGTTAAACAAATTTTATGTTAACAGTTACTTCTGCTAATGGATTCTTTTTAAAATCATGTTTAGGGATTCCGTATTTAAATCAGGAAGAAGAAAGACAGTTAAGAGAGCAGTATGATGAAAAACGTTCACAGGCAAATGGTGCAGGAGCTCTATCCTACGTTTCTCCTAACACTTCAAAGTGTCCTGTCACGGTTCCTGAGGATCAAAAGAAGTTTATTGACCAAGTGGTGTAAGCTCCTAAACTAAAACTAAATGTGCATTGTGTGCTGTATGTTGGGGCATGACAAGCATTTATATCTCAAACCTGTGCCGTACAGACATAATACACACACAGGTGGGATGTTGTGAATGTCAGGATATCACTGTGGCATATTAAAAAAAAAATTCTTTTTTTTTTTTTTGAGACAGAGGCTCTGTTGCGCAGGCTGGAGTGCAGTGGTGCGATCCCAGCTTGCTGCAACCTCTGCCTCCCAGGTTCAAGCAATTCCCATGCCTCAGCCTCCTGAGTAGCTGGGATTATAGGCATGCACCACCATGCCCAACTAATTTTTATATTTTCAGTAGAGACAAGGTGTTGCCATGTTGGCCACACTATTCTCGTACTCCGGGCCGCAAGTGATCTGCCTCAGCTTCCCAAAGTGCTAGG